ATTAAATGGGTTTAGTTTTCACGGTTATTAATGTATGCAATTTCAGCAATAAAAATGTAAATTTTTCTAAAAAGAAACAAATTAGTTGTTTATTTTAAGAGATCTATCTAATTATCTCTTGTATATTTAGTATTGCTCTTTAATAAAGAAAAATGACTTCTTATCTGATTACTCGATTAATCGATGTTATAATCCGCAGAATACTCGATTACTAAAATAATCCATAGCTACAGCCCTAGTTGCTATGTATGTTGCATGAATTGTTTCATGTGCATAATTGTATTTACATACACCACAGTTCAAAAATGTAGGGTCAGTAAACTTTTTTTTTTTTTTTTTGATGAATAAATGCATATTTTTATTCCGCAAGGATTCAATAAATTGATAAAAAGCAATAGTAAAGACATTTATAATGTTTATCAAAAGATTTGTATTTCAAATAAATGTTCTTTTGAACTTTATATTCATCAAAGACTCCGGAAAAAAAATTATTTCCACAAAAATTGTTTTTGTGGTTTCCACTAAATCATTGTGGAACATTTTCAACATAGATAATAATACTTTTTTTTTTCTCTTGCAGTATATTTTCCAGTTGCTATGTATGTTGCATGAATTGTTTCATGTGCATAATTGTATTTACATACACCACAGTTCAAAAATTTAGGGTCAGTAAACTTTTTTTTTTTTTTGGATGAATAAATGCATATTTTTATTCAGCAAGGATTCACTAAATTGATAAAAAGCAATAGTAAAGACATTTATAATGTTTATCAAAAGATTTGTATTTCAAATAAATGTTCTTTTGAACTTTATATTCATCAAAGACTCCGGGAAAAAAATGATTTCCACTAAAAACATTGTGGAACATTTTCAACATTGATAATAATAAGTTTTTTTGTTTTTTTTTGAGAAGCAACTCAGCATATTAGAATGATGTCTGAAGGATCACGTGATCACAGAGTAATGATGCTGAAAATTAATGCAGTAGTTCTAAAGTAAACCAACTTCAGAATAATTACATTTTTTAAATTAGACAAAATGAACAATCAATCTCCGCACACCTGACGGCAATTGATATGTGCGTAGGAGACAAAGACCAAAAAGATAAAAACTAAAGGATAAAGAATACAAATCGCGCACACTGTCAATAAGTGCAAAAAGTATCAAAAGATGTTTAATAACAATGTTTCGTTCGCACGACCTTCATTAGGTATGGTAAAAACATGAATTCACAAGCTAAACCACATTTAAAAGGAAATCATGACCAATCTCTGCAAAGGATGAAGGTCATGCGACCGAAACGTTATTAAACATCTTTTGATACTTTTTGTACTTATTGACAGTGTGCGGGATTTGTTTTCTTTAAAATGAGATAAAATACAAATATTTAATATTTTAATGTAACCCCCTCAGCATTTTTTTTTATTTAATACCCACTAGGAGAACCTGGATATATGAGGAAGCCTAATCTGAAAGTGTGATATCTGGACCTGGAAAAGTCATGCAAATGAATACAATTTCCATAGCCATTTTTTTGATCATACAGTAATATTGCCAAACTCTAAAATATTTTATCAGGTAAACATTATGCATGAAAAAATATTCCTTAGCTAGTTAATCACAACTGGAAATTTAGTACTACCCTTTTTTGTTTAATATTCTTTTTCACTCAAATAATATGTCACTTTATGGAAATAAAATGTGTTCTTAATTGTTGTCTTATAAATGCATCTCTTGCAGTATATTTTCCAGTTGCTATGTATGTTGCATGAATTGTTTCATGTGCATAATTGTATTTACATACACCACAGTTCAAAAATTTAGGGTCAGTAAACTTTTTTTTTTTTTTGGATGAATAAATGCATATTTTTATTCAGCAAGGATTCACTAAATTGATAAAAAGCAATAGTAAAGACATTTATAATGTTTATCAAAAGATTTGTATTTCAAATAAATGTTCTTTTGAACTTTATATTCATCAAAGACTCCGGGAAAAAAATGATTTCCACTAAAAACATTGTGGAACATTTTCAACATTGATAATAATAAGTTTTTTTGTTTTTTTTTGAGAAGCAACTCAGCATATTAGAATGATGTCTGAAGGATCACGTGATCACAGAGTAATGATGCTGAAAATTCAGCTTGGCATCACAGGAATAAATTACATTTGAAAATATATTCACATAGAAGACAATAATTTTAAATTATATTTCATAATATTACTGTTTTACTGTATTATTGATCAAATAAATGCAGCCTTGTTGACATCTTCTTACAAAAACATAAAAAAATTCTTACTGATCCAAGCTTTTGAACAGTGGTGCATATATAGAAATCTGACATATATAATTACAAATACTTTCTTATATCTTTATCCTAGGTTCAATAATGCAGACTACATCTCCAGTAACCCTGTACTGAGTGCCATCAAAGTGGTTTACTACTGTGTCTTCGCGCTGCTGTACGGCCTGGCCGGCTCCTGTAGTGACGTAGTCATGGTAAATTCCACCTGGACGTTAGGTCACATTCTGGCTCTGTGGCGCGCTCCGAACCGCACCAGTGTGGTCTATCCACCATGTGACGTTCAGGCCTTCCTGGATGTCCCTATTAGGGACGAGGATGAAGAGAAAGAGAGAAAGAAGTGTCACTCTGTGGTCTCCGTGGGTCAGTTCCGGCCTGAAAAAGACCATCGGCTGCAGATCAAGGCTTTTAGAAAGCTTCTGGACAGGAAGGGGGTGGAGCCTGCTGGGCGAGAGACCGTGAAGCTGGTGTTGATTGGTGGATGTCGTAACCAGGAAGATGAAGAGAGGGTACAGATGCTGCGGGGATTGTGTCTGGATCTGGATGTGGCAGATAGGGTGGAGTTTAAACTCAATATCTCATTTGAGGAACTGAAGAAAGATTTAACAGATGCCACGATCGGGTTGCACACAATGTGGAATGAACATTTCGGTATTGGTAAGAAATGTCATGCTCTCAGCAAGTTCTATCTCACAACACTGTACAGATGTACTTTAAAAAAATAAATCATGAACAAAAAGATGGTGGATGGTTTATGGAACCAGTAATAAAATAAATTATGAAATATTATACAATAAATTATTTTCTAATTAAGTTATTTTTCAAATGTAATTAAACAGTATTATATTCAAATATTGAGTTAAATATTTAAATTAAAAGAACTATATATATACAGTATATATATATATATATATATAAATTAAAATAGGTATTTTTTTTGTTTGTCAGATACTAATGAAATTGGCAAACTATTTTTCTCTATAGTGAATATTTGCCAGTGTTATTTTAGTATAATTGATATACATTTTAGTTAGTTTTTGTTAATATTTTGAATTAGATTTTATTTTACATTTTCTGTTAATATCTTTCATTTTAGTTTTTTATTTTGTTGTGTTTTTGTCATTTTTATATATATTTCTTTAAATGTCTATATAGTTTTTTTTTTATACATTTTTGTTTATTAGTTTGAGTTTACTTGCTCAAATGAAAAAGCTTTTTTCTCATTATATTTTTCATTTATTCTTTTATTTTAGGTAACACAAATGTTTGTTTAGGGTTTTAGTTTCAATTTTTGTTAACTAATAACCCTGATATTTGCATGAGCGTTACACTGAGAAGGCTCATCTTCTCTCACATCTCCACAGGTGTAGTGGAGTGTATGGCTGCAGGAACAATCATTCTGGCTCACAAATCCGGTGGTCCGAAGTTGGACATTGTAGTTCCCTATGATGGTGGTCCAACTGGCTTCCTGGCAGACGATGAAGACAGTTATGCAGACGCCATGGAACGAATCCTTTCTATGACTCCTGCAGCTCAGTTAGAGATCCGACGCCGGGCGCGTCTGTCTGTCACCCGCTTCTCAGACCAGGAGTTTGAAGGCTCATTTCTTGCAGCTGTGGAGCCTCTAATGTCAACACTAAGACTGTGAGTGATAGAGGAGGGGTATATGGTGACTGAATATAGTGAATCAGCCCGATATAGTCCAGTCTAGTTCACAAGCGTGTGCTGGCCCCGTAATGCCGACTCCAAATCATTCCTTGTCTAGAGCAGAAGTGAGCACTACCTGTCTTGTGAAGATTTGCTCTTTAAGTAACATCACTAAGGTAAGGGATGCATCATGGGAATGCAGGTTCTGTTGAGATGCCACCTTTTGCTTTAATTTAATGACAAGCATGACACCGAATGACAGATTTCTGCAAATGAACAGAAAGCAGTAGATTTTGTTTAATTTAAAAGCAAACACGTGCAGTTTTGTCTTTATATCCATTATATGTACATTATATATGATAGTGTATAATAGACTTTTTTTGTTTTATTGTAACAGGTTTCAGAGAGTTACACAACAAGACTAAAATGTATGAAAAAAGTGATATTTCTCTTGGAAGATTCAAACATTATACCAGTGCTTTATGTTTTTTTTTTTTTTTCAAACAATAAATGAGTGGTGGTCTGGAAATATAAACAAGATGTTTGTCCTGTTTGTTGGAAAATAGTTTGTATTCACTATTACCACATCATTTTTAGTAGCAATATTTCCATGCAATTATTACCATTTACTGTTATTATATTGAAAAGTTGTGCACAATTCTCATTTTTGTCACATACAGCTGTTCAAACCTTTTACACCATTAACCAACCTCCGGTAACAGATAAGAACTCTTTTTACATTATAACTGCTGTATACAGAAAAGCTGTCCCAGGAGCACAGATTCTGGGAAAGGGAAGCAGTGTTTGTAGATAGGAATAGTGCGAGAGAGGCCAAATTAAAAAGTGCATAGTATCTGGGAAAAGAGGAGGGAACTGAGAGGGCTGAGAGTATTTAAAGAGCTAGTAACAGAATTCTACCTTTAAAGGGGTCATATGATGCTTTTTTAAAGATCATTATTTTGTGTATTTGGTGTAACAGAATATGTTGACATGCTTTAATGTTCAAAAAACACATTATTTTTCAAA